TAATAATCTCAAGGAGCATCACAATAGATCTGAAAAGATTGCAGTGAATCAGGTCATGGGCTAGCTCCCCGACAATCTAATCTAATCTAGTGGAGCAACTTCCTCTATTGCTAGTGTTTTATCTGGTAATGTTATCCAGATTATTGCTAAAAAGTTAATATGACGAGTGTCTTATTTCCAAACATCGATGTCCGCCATCGAAGATGATAGTATTCCATCTAAATGAAATGTTACCTCTTTCATAAACGATATTGTGTAGCAATCCTGTGAAAGATATCGGAATCAATTCCATAAAGAAAGTTTGAAGTATGAACTGAATAAAAAAGTGTTTTTGTATAATTTACTGTTCATATAAAAGTAGTTGTTTCGAAAGTATTTTTTCTTTCGTGTAATTCAATGTTTATATGAAAATATTTGTTTCGAGAGAGTTTTTTCTTCCAGTTTGTGTCTAAAAGTTATTTCTCTGCATGATTTACTCATCTTTATAGACAGTTTATTTTGTGATCAATTGCTTTTTTGTATAAAGATGAAGAAGTAGAAAATCAAAACCTCACTTTTCCAAAAATTAATCTCTCCTAAAAATTTACCCCTTTCAATTTAAACGTCATCCCCTCTTTTTGATTAACCCTCCGCCAATACAGAGACATACCTTGTTGAACTGCCACAAGGGTTGAACCTACACACAAATATTGCTGTTTTTCAATTGATACTTTTCAGATATATTGAGAAAAAATATATTTTTTACACACCGTTTAGAGGACACCACTACATCAAATCACAAGAAAATATATTTCAAAACCAACTAAAAATACTTCGCGATAAAGTTTGTTTCTACACAAGAATGTTAAAAAGTCATTAAAAGCTTATTAAGAGACCCCTTGAAATTGATAATTTGATTTGGTAATTATAACAGAAATTCCAAGGGAATGAAAGAGTAATGTGTGGGTTTTTCATACATATTTTGACCAAATATAAACTGCGTTTATGAGGAACGAACTTCCTGAGAACGTTTTTTAAAATGATTCAAATCCAACGTGAATCGATACTTTCGCATCGGCACCGCTCTTAGATTAAGGATTCTACTGTAGTGCATTTGTGTTTGGTCCTTAAAAAAACAAAAAAAGCTGGAGTAATTCTATGAATTTATTTGATTTGGCTTATACTTTTGTGATACCATTGATTCAAAGAATTCACTATAAATTGATGCTTGCAGATGAACTTTCGTTCAACAATTGATATTTTAAACTAGATACACACGTTATATAGACAAATTTAAAACAAACCTACTCAACACAATACTTCCTAGCCATATTCAAGCCTCTGTCGTGCTTAAAATAATGGTCACATATAATGTGTTAACTGGAAAGCTATTGAGATACTCAATAATAATAATAATAATGGTCTTCATTGGGTGAAATACAATATAACATCCAAAAGGCGAAGTTCAAAACTGCAGTGTAGAACACTACAGGTTTGTTCTACCACTTAACCCCCACAGCCAGCTACGAGAACTGGCAACAAAAAAAAACCGAATACAAACAAACAACAATAATTGAAAAAGTAATACATTATACATCTGATATCAATCAGCATTTCAATAACAACAAAGAAAAAAATATATATACATATGGATAAACTATTGAGTATTTAAGTTTGTTTACCTAGTAGTTCAGTTTTTAATTTTTCCCTAAAAATACCAATTTTGAAATGTTTTACAATATTATTCTTCATATTATTATTTATATTTCATTATTTGCCCAAACATTTCTTGCATATCAAAATGGTCCTTTACATCATACAATTCACATCAATACCGCAAAATTACCACTATCACGCGATAAAAATTAATGCGACACGCGTGATGAAGAAAGGTGGCGATTGCCTTTATAACTTGGTGAATCATTTTGAAGGTTAATGTCGCATTTTTGTTTTGTGTTGTCTTTAGATAGATAGGTACTCAGCTATTTAAAAATTGAAATTGATAGTTCTGAACATAATTTTGTTTGATTGAATTTGATCAAAAATCATTATTATTAGTTACAGCTGGTAACTTGTTGGGTTTTGCTTTATATACCCCTTTCAAAAAATTTTCGAATGGTCCACAATGTTCCAAAACATTCCGAAGTATTCGAGATTGTACTGAAATAACCTGAGATGTTCTGAAACTATTCAATAGGTTGCAGACTATTCCAGAATGTTCCGGGATGTTCTACAATTTTATTGAATAATCTCAAATAGTGTGGGACTTTTTTTAGAGAAATTCCTAGATGGCAAAAATTCGAACTCATATATCTTGAGGAGCACGGCGTTCAGCTAAAAACAGAAACCTTCCTCAAAGACGTCAATAAATTTTGAAGGTAATAATATCCATAGCATTTTTTGAAAAATCTACTACTATCGGGAAGGGTAGCGTGTAATATCCTCCAAAGCACGATGAAAGTTGTTCACAGTTGGTGCCTGAGGGAGCAGATGTCTGTCAACCCCAGCAAAACTGTTAAAATCTCCTTCAACAGGAGGAGTAAATTGGACTAACGCCACTTTCCCTCATTGATGAGGTCATTTTATTTGAAACGGAGGTGAAATATCGTGGTATTGTCCTTGATGAAAAACTCATCTGGAACGCTCACTTGGAAAAAGTTTTACACAAAGCCAGACTGTCTCTATGGACATGTCGAAGGATTTGTGGTGAAACTTGGGGTTCAGGTCCCAAACAAATCCATTGGATTTATGTGTTGATTGTCAAACAATTGATAACTTTTGATGTAATTGCCTGGTGGCCGCAGGCTTTACAGAAAACGGCCTAGGCGAAGCTCTCTGGCTTACAGAGACAGGCTTGTCTGGCCATCAGTGGTGGCCATCAGTACCACACCATCAGCGGCCATGAAGATCCTTCTAAATCTACCTCCTCTCCACATTTTTCTGGAGAGAGAGGCTAAATGGGCTGCATATAGACTTGGGCACATTGCCAATTGCCCAAATCAATCTGATGCAGATTACTATAGACTGCTGATTGACACTGGAAGTCACAGCATTCTGGAAATTACTTCTGACTTTATGTCTCCAACTGTCAACTAAGAACTGCTTTATAAAGTATTGTTCCCAAGTAGATAGGACTGGATCCTTCGGTAGAAAGAAATATTAAGAGCAGATAGGTAGTTGTTGGTTCACAGATGGATCAAAAACACCTTCCGGTTCTGGTGCAGGTGTTTTCAGACGCAGACCCAGTACATATATACCAACCTGCCTAGCAACCTATGCGACTGTATTGTATGCGGAAATTTACGCTATTGAATTATGTGCAGAGAAATTGGAAGAATCCAACCTCATACATAAGCCAAAAAAATTTTCTTGGACAGTCATGCGGCGTTGGAAGCTCTTGGCTCCTACCGAGCAACGTCTGAATTGGTAGCAAATTGGTCTGGATTCCTGGCCATTCAGGCCTGGAAGGCAATGAGGCTGCTGACTCCCTTGCCAAGGAGAGTGCTGCAAGCAGCTTCATCGGACCAGAACCTGTCATTGGCATCGCTTTAGGCTTTGCCAAACAAATATTGAACACCTAGTTGGTAAGAAGATTTATGGATTTCTCGCAGAATCTTCCAGGAGTGGCTCACTCCAAGGCGTTTATTCACCCTTCGAAGCTTGATACCAAACAGTTGTTGGACCACAGTAGAGATGAACTACAATGTCTAACGGGCCTTCTTACAGGTCACTGTCATTTGAATCATCATATGCAGAGACTTGGACTGTCGGAAGACAGTGTGTGCCGCTTCTCTTTGGAAAATGATGAAACAGCAGAGCATTTACTTTGTGCCTGCCTCGCTGGGAACCGAATCAGGTTTTTAGAGTTCGGCAGAGCCGTACTCTTACCATATGACCTGAAAGACCACTCACCATACAAACTAATTTTCTTCGTTAAGAAGCTGAGTTTATTTGGTCGATTGTGAATAGGTGTGAACCACAATAGACTCTTGTGGGTTGCGGGGAAGGGTCGAATAGACCCACTCACTTTAGACCTAACCTAACCTAACCGGCAGACCTTTGATTCAATTTGAATTCATAGAATTCAAAAAAAAATTTGGAAAAGATGAACAGCATCTCTATCCATTAGAATCTACCACGACACTGTAGACAAAACTTCTGAAATTTCGTTCAAATTCATGTTCAAGCGTTTTATAAGTAAATCGCACAGTGAGTAACCAACCGCTTCTTTCCGAAATGTCACTTGTGTAACCTTGAAATGAAGGACTGTCACCAAAGAACGGATCCACTATGAAATCAAGTTTTTATTAGGAAAAATGTAGATTAATAAACTTTTTTTAATAAACTGAAAAGTGTCAAAGAAAAAGAGATGAGATGTAAAAGTGATGTGGTGAATAAATAAGTACTTGTATTTTTCTATAGTTTTTATTGTATAAAACGTTTCAATTTATGGAACTTTGAAGGGCAGTATCTGTGAAAATAAGGGAAAGCCCGTATTTTTTCTTTCGGATTCGTAATCTACCCGTCAAGGTACGTAAAAATCTACGTCTAATTTTTTTTCAAATTCAGAGAGTGCAGTTTTTTTTTTTAATTCTACCGAAAATAATTTCTAGCGACAGTTTTCATAAGGATGCTTGATATTCCATCTGACCGATTTTACGTTCTCAAGGCGAAAAGGAATTTCTTACAATCGGTCAGTTGGTTCTTTCAATTAGCTATAAAAGTGAATGACACTTTCTATTTGTTCTGTCTGACTATTCGACCTTATTATTCGTAACGGTGAGGAGTCTCTATTTGAAACATTTACGTTTTCCGCTTGGGTACTGATTAATTATACAATGTTATGAATTATATACCGTGCTTTAGTAGGTACGCCCACCAAATGGCAAATGTAATTAAACTGCGATTGAACAAAACTGGTTTCTATCTTTTGTATCAAAATCGTATTCATTCAATTTTCAAAAGCATATTATTCTCAGGTGAATGACTCTGATAACAGAAATAGTACAAACATAACCTACTTATGACGGTAGCCTGGTGGGTTGACATGGGTGGTTTGCTTTGCTCACTCAGTCGACCGCTGTGTCAACCGGTGGTTCGAACCGCAAGACCGGACGATCTATTTTCACTTCCTATCGTCCAATCCGTATTAGGAATCACACGTTGAACAGTAAGACCTTGTTAGTCCTTGGCTCGCACATGCTTCTTCTTTTGGGAGTTGTATTTCTAGGGGTGCAACAGCTGGTTAACGGAAAACAGATTTTAACATGAAATTTTTAACAGATCATATTTCTAGTCTTCACTTTATTTGATATCTAGCGTCTCACTATCATCCTCTGATCGTTAGAGAGTTATTGGAGATTCATTTACTGGTTAATATTAGGACTTCCATTCTCTAATATGATATAATTTGAATCAAAAGGGTTATATTTTTAGGAACAAATATAATTAAGAAATAAAATGAATAGCCTAAAATAACAATTATATTAGGCAATAAACTAAGTTACGTCACAGCGTTTCGATTGTTAACATCCACAATCTTGGTCTTTTAGAGATTTCAAATCATATTGTACAGGGTGTAACTAAATAAGTGTAAAACATTTAAGGAGGTGATTCCTCATCAAAAAAAAGATAGGATCTTTCATATAAAGAAATTTCATTGGATCATCCCTTGTTAAGATACAGCCCCTTAAAGGGGGTACATGAAATTTGTATACAAATTTTTTTCACAAGCACTAAAAAAGTTACAATATTGAAATTAACCTGACTTTTTGTACTACCAAAAAAGACACTTTGCCAGAAATTTATTTGGTTTACCCCATGGTTGTAAGGGGTGGAAAACGCAACCCCTAAAATTTATTTCCAATGTAACTTTTTGTCTTATTATTTGTTTACCAT